CACGGTTGGCTCGTCGCGCGCGACTGCCACGAAAAAAGGAACAAGAAAGAGATAGAATGACCGGTGATCGAGAGGGAAGGCTGACGAGGAGCGCGAGAAAGGCGAGGATGACGGTTCCGATCGAGTCTCGAAGCGAGACCGAGACAACCGATCGAAATAACGACGAAAGCGACGAAAGCGACGAAAGGAAAGGAAAGAAAAAAAGAGAAAAAACGGAGAAGAAAGGCTCGCTCGCCGCTCACCGGTCCACTATACTCGCTCGGTCAGTGGCTACTTTCGCGTTCGGACGCGGTGTTTCGAAGCCATGGACGAACGTAACGTTACACGCTGGACAACGAAACCGTTTCGCTCGGTGGAATATCGGAAATATCGAAGATATCGGAAAGCGAGAAAACGACGGTCGGTCGAATCGAGAGGAGCAAAGTTGAAACGCGGGTGGTCCGCGTTGTCCCACTTTCGCTAACGCATGCACGAGCACGTGCGCGTTCTTTCTGGTATGGTATGCAGAACCGGCTGTCCACGTGCGTACGCTTACAAATGCCGCTACTACGAACACTTCTTTTACTCCTCCTTTCTTTTCCTCTCGTTCCGCTTTCGTTCGTTCTTTCTTCCCTTCTCTTTTCCATTTACTATTTCTTTTCTTTTCTTTTTTGGGAAGACGCGTACGCGTGTTTGTTCGATCGATCGCTCGAAATTACGGTCCGATCTAAATTCGGAGCGTTACGCCATCGGTTCGTCATCCGGAAATTCCCAGAAGATCGGTAAAATCGGAACTCGGCCAAGCTGGTACGATTCGGTCGATGACGCTCGTAACCGGTAATCGCGTCGCGTATTCGGAACAATATCGTAACGCTGTTGGCCGTCAAGTTGCAAACGCCGTCGACGCGATCTTTGAAATCACGAGAATCGAACGAAAAGAAGGGAGGAGATCGATCCGCGTAATCGAGGGTGCGTCGGTTGGCGTTCGCGCGTCGATCGAGAATCGAGATAAACGCGGGAACGGTTGAACGAAACGAGGACAAGGACGATAACGACGATGATGCGCGACGGCGCGCGCGCACGCGTTCCGGTCGGTCCGTCGCGTCGCGTCGCGTCGCGTCGCGAAATCGATCGTGCAACGATCAATTTCGAAAAATTACTCGATCGATGTTCTCTGCTGGATCGATCGACGGCCTCGGAGAAAGCGAATCCTTCTAGATCGTGGCCGTTTCTCCGCGAGGGAAAATCGACCTTCGAGACTCGAATGTCGATGTCGAATCGGCGCGTCGAGTCACGGTACTCGAACGAGGAGCAGCGTTGCTTACGACGAGCAACGCTTGCAGCTCGAATAACGCGCATTCCCGTGTTTCACCGAGCTCTCCCGAGAGAGGCGAGGGTTACGAGAAGAATGCGGCCCGACTCGTCGCTACTTAGACTGTACACGATTCGCGAAACCTTTTCGTCTTCTTTTTCTTCTTTTTCTCCTTTTCCTCCCGTGTTTTTATCCTTTCTCTTTCTCTGTCTCCGTCGCTTTCCATTTGCCGTCTCCGTCCTTTGACGATTTACGGCGTGGGAGGCAGAGGAGCGTCGTACGTGGTTACGCGTACGTATCTCCAAGGTCGGCCACATCCGCGGGAACGTCGAATGCCTTCGATACGCGTAAACTTTGTTCGAATTCCGTCGACGAGTTGGGTCGCGCGCGCGATGTCGACGACCGCGATCGGAAAACACTAATTTATTTTCGAGCCAACGGACTCGTGACACGTCCTTACGATTCTTAACTCTTTCCTTGCCACAGTTTTCCGGCTGTAAAAGGGATAGAAAAATATCCCCGGATTTTCACGGTAGTTGCCAACAACGAACGCGAACTCGAACTCGACACTGACCGACCTTCTGAACGAGTCAAGCGGTTGTTGAGAAGTTAACGCGAACGAGATCTCCGTCGACGAACGCGTCTTAATCGATTTACGATTTAGGAGATATCGTTTTTTTACCGACGTATCTTGGATCGAGTCGATAAGATTTTTACGCTGTTTCGAGTTGAAAAGAACTCGGAAGGAAAAGAAATAAATAGAATAGAAGAGGAAAGAAGAAAGAGCGCGTCGCGTCGCGTCGCGTCGCGAAATCGATCGTGCAACGATCAATTTCGAAAAATTACTCGATCGATGTTCTCTGCTGGATCGATCGACGGCCTCGGAGAAAGCGAATCCTTCTAGATCGTGGCCGTTTCTCCGCGAGGGAAAATCGACCTTCGAGACTCGAATGTCGATGTCGAATCGGCGCGTCGAGTCACGGTACTCGAACGAGGAGCAGCGTTGCTTACGACGAGCAACGCTTGCAGCTCGAATAACGCGCATTCCCGTGTTTCACCGAGCTCTCCCGAGAGAGGCGAGGGTTACGAGAAGAATGCGGCCCGACTCGTCGCTACTTAGACTGTACACGATTCGCGAAACCTTTTCGTCTTCTTTTTCTTCTTTTTCTCCTTTTCCTCCCGTGTTTTTATCCTTTCTCTTTCTCTGTCTCCGTCGCTTTCCATTTGCCGTCTCCGTCCTTTGACGATTTACGGCGTGGGAGGCAGAGGAGCGTCGTACGTGGTTACGCGTACGTATCTCCAAGGTCGGCCACATCCGCGGGAACGTCGAATGCCTTCGATACGCGTAAACTTTGTTCGAATTCCGTCGACGAGTTGGGTCGCGCGCGCGATGTCGACGACCGCGATCGGAAAACACTAATTTATTTTCGAGCCAACGGACTCGTGACACGTCCTTACGATTCTTAACTCTTTCCTTGCCACAGTTTTCCGGCTGTAAAAGGGATAGAAAAATATCCCCGGATTTTCACGGTAGTTGCCAACAACGAACGCGAACTCGAACTCGACACTGACCGACCTTCTGAACGAGTCAAGCGGTTGTTGAGAAGTTAACGCGAACGAGATCTCCGTCGACGAACGCGTCTTAATCGATTTACGATTTAGGAGATATCGTTTTTTTACCGACGTATCTTGGATCGAGTCGATAAGATTTTTACGCTGTTTCGAGTTGAAAAGAACTCGGAAGGAAAAGAAATAAATAGAATAGAAGAGGAAAGAAGAAAGAGAAAAGAAGAGAAAGGAAAAAGAGACGAGAGGCGAGACGAGACGCGACTCAGAGGCCAGTGTCCCGACGAACCGGAACTCGGTCGGATCGACTAACCGACTTTAAACGAAACGTCTTCGTTAAACGACTCCGTTATTGACGCGACGCAGAGGCGTTCGCGAGCGATTTTGACTCGCTGCGCGTTCGCTTCGTCGCTGACTCACCGGTGCGTTCTTTCACCGTTTCCTTTTACCGAACCGTCTCTATTCACCGCTGCACACAGTCCTTTCACGCTTTCGCTCGAAAGCGACGGGGACGGTAGCTTCTCTCGGCGGATAACGAGCATTTAAGAAAACGTACAGAAACGACGTTTAATCGCCGAAAATAGTATCCTGTTCGAGGAGAATTTAACACCGCGGCAGCGATAGAACTCCGCGGTTAATTTTACCGAAAACGCGTTGCGTGTCTGGACTTTCTCATCCCGGTAGTTACGTTAGAAGATGTAGCGCGAGACGTGACCGCGATCGGACGAGCACGTATACGCGTACAGGTGCACGCTCGAGGGCAGAAAAATGACGAATCGTTCGTTTTCTTTTTAGGCAAACGTGAGCCAAGCCGAGTACGAGCGAGCGCACAGAGAGTACCTGAGAAAAGTACAGCTGCAGTCCGACGAACGATCTTTCGACGGCAACAGGAGACTGCACGTATTTCACGCTACAGGTAAGATCCCGAACCGAGAACAATGCTAACGACCGTTCGATCCGTCGATACCTATCGATTATTTTGCGCCGCGTGCACGGCTGCGGGAAGGCTGCGGGAAGGCTGCGGGAGGCGGCGATCCTCGGAAACGCGAAATTACGTGCCGTTTCTCTGAAAAAATATACACCCGCTATAATTACAACCTACGTAAACATCTAGTCTTGGAACTTCCGCCGACGCGTCGACGCAGCGACGACCGACACGGTTTTACCTCGTCTATCCAGAACGAACCGTCGCGTCGCGTTAATTCTCAACGATTCGTTAACCGTTTACCTCTCTGCTTTTTCTATGCAGTTCCCGTAAAATCGCGGACAACGACGAACGCGTACGATGAACCGGCTAACGATAAAGGCGAAACGAAATCGATTAGAAAGTCGACGCTTCTTCGACGGTACTAAATTCCCTGGTGATTCGAGAGAACGCTCTTTTCCCGCTCCGTCCCTTCGACTTTGCTTCGACTTCGAGGCTGCCCCACTCCTCGCATCGCGTCGCATCGTTACGAACCCGTATCCGCGTGATTATGAAATAGAAATTCCGACCTCGATGGAATGTCGAGTAACGAGTTACCGAATGCAAATAAGAAGGAATCGTCCAAGAAGCATCGCGGACTAGTTCGCGCTTACTTGGCGCTTACGCGACGCCTATTTGGCGGAAAATGATCGACCAGTGTCCGTGAAACGACAATCTCGTGGAACGCGTCGATCTCGGAAATAGCTCGATCCGCTCGATTGCGGGAAACGTCGAAACTTTCCGATATCCCACGGACGAGTATATTTTCGAGGGAAACGCGATCTAAGGTAACCTGTAACTGCCGCGAATAAACCATCGAATTCCCGTTCGATGACGAACCAAATTACCCGAAATATCGGAAATTCTTGGCTGATTTCGTGTCCTGTTATTTCGCGATCGCGGATTTCCCTTTTACCGAGCGAACCTCGGCTATTCTTTTCAACGAAATCTCGACCAAGTCTTTTAACCTTTCCGAAAGATTTTCTTCGTACGACGCGAGAACAAGCTTCGCGTTACTAGACTAGACGCGACGCTCTTTCGTCGCATCCAGCGTCGGTGTTGTCTTACGAAACGTACGGTTTCGGTTTCGCTTTCCTACCGTCTTGCCTATATTTAAGTATTAAACCGATCTCTCGCCGAGACGAAAAAACCGGCTTACAACGAGAAGGGAGAAAGCTTCCCAGCTAACCTGTCGTATTAGTTGCGCGCGTTTCAAGACTACGCGACGCCAACATTTTACTCGTCTTTCTTTTTCCTGGCCGAGCAGCGCGTGCAACGCTCGTATTAACGAATTACCCCGGAATTTGATAATTCGTTTAATTGGCCGGTGAAATTGGAACGGACGGGAATAGGCTGCTCTCGCGCGGTCTCTCGCGCGGTCTCTCGCCGGATACGAGTTGTCGGGGCGTCGTTGCATCCGTTCGAGCGAACGCGATGGAAAACGAACGTTTCCGCTCTGAGCCACGATGTTTCCCGTAACGGTGCCGATAAAAGAAAATTTTTACGAACGCGATCGCGAATCTTCGAAACGCGAGAAAAGGGAAAGGGAACGCGATTCCACGGATTCCAACAATTTCGTTTACGTAACGCGTAATGGTTATGTGCTTGTCGATTGTTGCAGCGTATCCTGGAAACGAATCGAGCCAGCTGTACGAGAGAAGCAGGAAAGACGAAGAACGTCACCGTCATCGCCATCGGCTATTCTTCCCCGTGGAAATTCCTGACGAGGAATCGACGGTGGACCACGCGACGCTGCGACTCTTGCTGCACGGACCGAGCGACGAGGATCCCCGCGGATCGCCGATAGACGCGTTGCTCTACCTGAAGACCTCTCGTTCGAGGAAGTTGCTCGTTCGCGATAGAATCGAACCGGAGAATTGGCGAAACCCGAGGTGGCTCGAGTTCGATTCGAGCGCGGCCGTTTCATTTTGGCTCGCCGCCGGCACGCTCGAAAATTTCGGTCTCGAGCTCGAGTTCGTTCGCGACGGTCGACCGATCGAACGTACGTTTTCTTCGCCGGTTCTGAACGTGTTCACCGTTACCGCGGACTTTCGCGCCAGAGCGAAACGCTCTACTCCGGAACAGTTGATGTCGTTGCATCAGGGCCGTAGGTCAAAGTGCAAAGGCGAGAGTAAAAAGTGCTGCAGACACGAACTTACCGTCATGTTCAAGGACCTTAAAGGCTTCGAATTCATCGTTTACCCGAAAACCTTCGACGCCGGATACTGTAAAGGTCGATGTCCGCCCAGATACAATCCGGCTCATCATCACGCCCTCCTACAGAGTTTGCTGTGGAAAGAGGACAGAAAGAAAGTACCCAAGCCTTGTTGCGCTCCGAGTAAACTCGACCAACTGATGATCGTTTACTTCGACGAGGACGATTCCACTCAGCTTAAAGTGTCTTACTGGCAGAACATTCAAGTTCTCGAGTGCGCTTGTTCTTAAACTTAAACTCGCCTTGCCGCGGGTGAGCACGTGCAACGCGCGACGAGTGATCGTCCTCCTAGACGATTACTTTTATTTACCGCGATGTCGCGTCGTTTGTCCGACTGTTTGCGCCGTGTTACGGACGTGGCCGAAATCAACCACGGATCGATTATTAACTCGCATCTACTCCTACCGACGTTTCGTATCGACTGTGATATAGATACTAAGATATCTAACCTAACGACCTTCTTAACGTACTAATTGTATTTCGTATTTGTCAGGTACTATTCGCTCTTCCTCTCTCCTTCCTTTCTCCTTCTTTTCCCCTTTCCTTCTTATACGTACGCGATTTATTTTTTTATCTTTACTTTAAGCGAAATGCGCCATTAATTGCCGCAACCTGGCAATCTGCCGTTCTTATTTAACGAACAAATTATCGGAATAGGTATAAAAAGAAGAGAAGAACGAACGTTTTCGTGATCGCGCAGCGTCCAACAATTTTACCGAACACTCCGCCGATCGAACTTGGTTTACTTAATCGTAAAATTAGTCTGCGTAATCCCTCTCTTTTATTTATTCCTGCTCGTAGCATGGACACTACCGCGTATGTAAGTATAGAATATTCCAGTTGCAGAGTATTGAACAGAGTGAACGATACGGACGGATCGTCGATGAAGCGACGTATTCCGGCAACGTTTTATCCGTTGCGCGTGCTTCTGTTAGTTCCTAATAGGATTATAGAAAGAATCCTCCGACGTTTTATTTTTTTTTTTTTTTCCATTCTGCTACCAAGTATCGAATGTATCTTTTATCGGTAACCTCCTGAACGCCCGCGACAAATATGTATGTACTCGCGACTTTTCCGTCTCTAGTTCACCGATAAACGATCGGAGCGAAACTCTTTGTCGAAATTTTAACATCTTTCCTCGCATGTATTCTCTCTGATCGAGCTTCGATATCGCGTGAAATAAAAATTTATTCGTTATTTATAACAAGTATTTGTATGATTTTCTATAAGACCAAATAATTCCCGAATGAAAATTCGCTTCGATTATTATTGCCGATTCGCTTCCCTTCTCTTCTCTTCTATGTACGCGCGACGATACGAAGCGGCTAAAGTTGCACAATCGAACGTGTTCGATATCGGTTACATGACCAACAATTCGAGTTTACCAGCGACGCAAACTCTCGAATACCACGGTAAGGGGTTATCGCGGTGCGACGGCAATAAACTTTCGCCGAACGAGATGCCGCTTACCCCTGCGAGCGAGGTCGAAGGTCGTATCGACGACCGAATTATGCAATCCCAGACTGTTCGTTCGTTCGTTCGTTCGTTCGGCATTCCGGCGCCGTATCTTCTATAAATTTCGTTACGGATATGGGGTGCGTTTCGGGACTACGAAAACTCAACTTCCGTTAAACGCTCTTCTTTATTCGAGTGACCAAATCGACACAGACATTTACGAAAATTTCTGAGAAAATGCTCCAACGACAATAATAATAACGACCATTCGTCGAGTAAAAAATTATCTTCGATCCGTTTTGCCGATACCCCTTTTCCCCGAGAACAAGTGTTTCGGCAGTTTCGTACCGATGAATCGATCCGCTTCTCCTTTCAAACCCTTCTTTGCGATCTTCTTCTTTAATGCCTTGTGCGCGATATTCTTTAATTTCGTTTTCATCGTGACGTCCTTCACACCCATTTCGTCGCGGGCCGGTCTCGAACTGCTCCGAGCGCGTGATCGAGACACCGATTCCAATCGCATACGCTTCCTAGCAGGCTGAGACAACGATCTTGAACGTCCTCTGGTTCTGGTGAAGTGTGCCTGTTGTAAAACAACGATAACGATATGAATCAGCCGCGCGTTCGTTTTCGCTAGCTCTACGGTCGTATCCGACTACTCACGTTTTCGCTGTCTTGCATATCGATACCCAAGTCTTCCATTTGTTCTTTCAATTTCGATACGGATCTATCGCGTCCCTTAGCCGTAACTGTGCGCGGTATTACAGGTTTCGTGGAAGCCTTTACGATCCGCGCTTCGTCCTTCATAATGGCTTTCTTTTCTCGAATTTGCTTAGCCATCTGTACGATATCGCGCATAGTTTCCGACAATTCGGGTACCTTATAATCGTACATGCCCGCTTCTTCCCGCAGCTGTTCTTCTCTCTCCAGTTCATTCAATTTCTATGAAAATAAACGATCGATTGAAAATTTCTTACCTAGGCAAACCGACATGACGTGACGATAATGATAATGAAGGAATTAAATGAAAACCTCGTATATTTCTGGATCGATGTAATCATAGATGTTATGACCTTCCCATATTTCTGGAATTACGTCGTATTTCTGATCACCCTCGATATCGTAATTCTTTTTCAGATCGAGTACATAGTCGTCTCCCATTTCTTCCTCTATTTCTCGCTCTAATTTTCGTTTCGTCTTCGATCGTTCCTCCATTGCTTGCTTCTTTTTCAAAACGCTCTCTGGAATGCAAGGAGCGCGGACCTTGTCGTCCCTCGGTGTTGGTTGTGCCACGTGTAAACGATTAAGCAATCCTTCGACCTACGATCATAAAACATTCTGTAAACGTACTATTCTTCAGAAAACGAACGCATCGATCCTATATATTTCGACTACCTTTTTCGTTCTTATCTTCTGATCGACCCGGAAAGCTAAAAGTCGCTCGCAAGCTTGTATTTTAACGTCCATTACTCCAACGTCTGTGATTGTACTCGTTTCTAGTACGGGAACATCGTTCGCCTCTAATGACTTTAAAATTGTTCGTTTTTCGTCTGGAAGTTCTTCTACGCGCAAAACGTCCACTTTATTCATCACTACCGTTAATGGTTTGTTAGCGAACAGCGGTTTAATGGATTCGAACAGTTTTACCTAGAACAACGTGGAAATTGTGTAATCGTGAAAAATTCAAAAGGCGGTGTGTACCAACGATCAATTATAATACAAAGTTGATCGCCCGATTAATTTACTTGTTCTTCCAAACTATGACCGCACTGTTCCGATATATCGCAAAAGTAAAGTACAGCCGCGCGTAAATGCGCGAGCGCGGTTATCGCTTGCATCTCGATTACGTTCCGCTCTTCGAGCGGGTGATCTAAAATCCCTGGTGTATCGATTACTTGCCACCTTAAATATTTATAATCCGTATGACCGACGTATAACGATTTCGTTGTAAATGCATACGGTTGAACTTCAACGTCGGCACGTGTGATCTGTAAACGAAAACCGCTTCGTTATAGAATTAAAATATCCATATTGCTATAGACTGTAAAATTTAAATTACCTTGTTTAGAAAACTGCTTTTACCAACATTTGGAAAACCACATATTATTATGGTTCTTGTATAGGGATCTATACTAGGTAATCTAGCCAAATGTTGACGAACTTGTTCCAGGTATGCTAAATTTGCGGCTTGCCTTTTCATCACAGTGGCCATTCTGCCTAAGGCTGCTTTTTTCAATTGTTTGCATCGATACAGGGAATCTCCGTACTTCATCAAACGAACATAATCCTTTGCGACGCTGTTGCGATAAAGCGTACAATTAGTTTGATAAGAGCTAACCGCGTACGGACAACGGTACTTTCTTCTACTTACTTATCGATCAAGTGCCGCGCTATGTTTATTTGTCCTAGAGCCAATTTATAATGATCTTTGTCGTATAACACGTTCATTAAATCTGCGTAAAAGGGATGAACATCGTCCAACTTGGGAAAGTCTTGAATTATTTGAGATAGTTTATCGTGAAAATTTTGTTGCGTAAACTTCACTTTACGCATATAAAAAGCACGTATCCTTGTAATTTTATAATTCTTGTGGACAACGGTTGGAGTTTTACGTTGTGTTTTTGATAATATTATATCGATGAAGTCCTAAACGAACAAACAGATTTGTTCACTCGGATGAATACATTACGAATATTTAGGTATACAGAAAATTGAGGAAATTAAGAACTAACCTTTGCAGTAGGAACAACAGCGATCTTTTTAAAATTATACAAACCCATTTTTGTTACGTTCAATTATAACTGTTACTTTAAATGTTAAAAAACTTCGCTTTAAAGGTTAAGACACCACATTGTATCCTCACGATAACAGCATGTCTCCGGGTTCCGGGCACTGAGCGTGACGTCAGTGCGCAATTTATGCGCGTATAGTCTGTTGCATCTACAGTGGCGTCAACTTTATACTTTTGAATTATCCGTGCTTCGTTCACGCTAATTTTTTACAGTGATTCGTATAAAGAAAAAGGAAAGGAAAGAATAATAAGTAAATTATAAGTTTAATTTTTTGTTCCTTTAAACTTCGTTACGGGAATGTTCATAAAATTCTTGACCAAAGTAACGTATACGCAAAACTAGCCTGCTTCTAGTATATTTCTAATTATCTTTTAAAGTAATATATACTATAAATACATACAGAATATCATCTGAATGTATAAAAACTTAATACAAATAATGATAAAAATTAAATTGTCATTATTGAATTTCCAAAAAATTGTCCAACCCCTTCCAACCACCGATCCCCATATATCACACACTTTCTAGATAACTACATAATACCATATATTTGTATGCTAAACTACGCGTCCTCTATCGATGAGAAGAGTCAATATATTAACTGAATGTATACGATACATACAGTGTGTGTTCTTTTTCAACGTAAAAGGTGAATTGATGGGAATGTTTTATGATTGAGGCATGTGTAATTAGAAGAGTGTATTCTCTCGCTAGATGAAGTACAGTACATAAATATATATGTATTTATAATTGTTGTTTGAAATTGGATATTCAACATTTTCGGTTACTTTTCAAATTCGTAATTTCTTTCGAAAACTATATAATTATTATATTTCGATAAACAGGAAGTAAATTGTGATTCTATTTTGCCTATTTTCACTTCTAAAATTCCATAAATTTCAAAGGAGAAATATAAGCGGAAAAAAAATTGTTGGTGAACTAAGCGCAAGCGCAACACTGAGTGTTTGGAATTGGTTAAAAACTTTAGAGTGTAGAGTATATATTTTTGCAGTAAGTATTCTATACTGAAAAAGTGAAGCAGCCGATATAAAGAGAGAGAATGTGACCTGGTCTTTCTGTTTCTGTCAATCCTTTATGAATCCACACGAAGCGAGGAAGAGAGAGGAAGACAGAGACGATTCGTTTTCTTTTTTAGCCGACAGTGCGCACAGCGCCATTTGAATGCTTACTTTACGAGTATATAGGTATATATTCTAAGGTTGAAACTGATAACTAGGGAAGAACGGTTAAAGAGAACGGGGAATTTTAACAACTTCGAAATTTTTTAGTTATCTCTAATTTCGTACAAATTGAATAAAAAAGTAATTATATATCGAAAAAATGAGATCAATGTGGAATAGATGAACGTAATAAAATAGTAAAAAAAAATGTAACGTAACATGCATCATATAAAAGTGGTAGTTCGATACTTTGCTAGCAATTGTAAGTTACCGAGAATTGAGTTGATTCGTCCCGCCATTTTGAACTAAACTGTGCTTGATCGTTGCTAGATATTCTGTTCAAGGAGGGAACTGTCAGTATACGTACACATACACGAATGAACTTGTATTACGCATTCTTTTCTACTTTCGAACTTCAACCCAACAGAACATGGTTTATATTTTAGATTAAAATGTTTTCCTTATTACTGTTTACAGCGTATCTATCCGCTCACATAGCGAATGAACTAATGCAGAAGGCGTATGTAGATTACACGTTTAAATCTGCATTCATTTTAAATTTCTTCCAATTGTTAACAAACATTACGAAAGTGATACAAGTTGTCGGTTGTGTACCATTTATGTTCTAAAATAACCTAATCTAACCGAGAAGATACTGTGAAAATTATATTTCATATTTTATTTCATATTTCATATGAATTAAGAATTGTGAAGTACTGGCCAGGAGCGTTTTTAACCAAGTGGATAGGGGACGAGAAAGGTCGTTTCATCGTTTTAAAAAGTATTTAACAGGTATTCGATTGTTGATTACAGACGCACCTTTCTCAGTATACATTTAAAAATCATATAGTTTCATGATTTTTCTTCCGTGTTTTATGCAAACATGCATATTCATATACCTATGATTGCACATATTTTGAGTTAAAGATAACGTACAATATAATTCTTGTTATTTAAGGAAATGTTTTTGTACACAGATTAAGTGTAAAAGTTTCATACAATTTTGCAAGGAACTGTATATTTTGAATATAATGCATATAGACAGTTTTGAAAATATGAGATACTCTACGTTAGAAGAACAAGAATACGGAGTACGTTCGTCTCAAAATCGAATATCTGACGAAACGGATGAAATCATAATGATCGACACCGATAATGTAGAATCGAAAAACGATAGCCCTTTAGAGGAGGGTTCTGTCGTATCTAATCTTCCTCTTTTGTTCGCGAATGGATATCCAACATCTTTGGAAAGGATCACTTTGGTACGGATATTTCTATACTTACGTTTATGTCGGACTCTTACATCGCCTTACTCAATAAATACAGAAGCTCGAACAATCTTCCTAATGGAAATTACTGTTTATCATTAAATACACAGGATAACGGTATGATGCTGTTTGTTCAATTTTTCAGGCACAGTTGGAACGTTTTGTAACATTCATGGTTCAGTGTTCGTTAGGCCACGATACGACAGAGGCGATCACCGAACCGCAGTGGTGGCCCAAAGAAGTGAAATTTTCTAATCCTTTAATGAGACCTAACAGAGTGAACGAAGTAAGTTAAAGCTAATAACATAATTGTACAAAGAGTCTTTCCACTTCTACCAAAACATATAAATTTTAAAATGTCTGCTGTATTTCAGAATTGGATGGCTAATTTAAAGAAATTAGTATTTAGATGCTACACGTACCACAGGAGCGAGTATATTTTAAGGTTTTGTTCATATCTCGCACGGTATCCGCGCGAAGATTTAGAATACGTTAGCAATTGGGACTCGACGACGAGTCTTTACCATAAAAATACCGGAAAATTATTAGTAACATTTCGTAATGAAAATATGGTTAGTTTCCAAACCGATATATTTTATTTTACGTACTTTGATAATCTATACAATAAAATTTGAAGTAATTATTTCCTGTTTTTAGAACTATGATAAAAGGGATGTAAGTCCACGAAAGAAATTACTATCTTGCGGTGGAGTTGCTCCTTGCTATTCTAATAAATTGAAACAACAAGAGCATTCCATTACGATGGTTGAACCGCCGATCGAGGATATCTATTTATGTGATAATTGTGATGCTGAATTTATAGGTCTAGAAAAAATGAAGGTAATAAATTATGAGAAATGTACGAGGAGTAAAGATTATTATAAAGTAACTTTATAGGAACATGAACGCGTGTGTTACGAACGAGACCATAGAAGACGCAATTTACGATCCATAACGCCAGATGCACCGACTCCCAAGCCTGAATTAAGACAAGACCAGTTCTTGGAGTATTTTCGATTATGTTCGATAGATACGAAAACAAAAACGATCGAAAGAAACGACAGTGTTACGGTTGATGATAGTATCGTTAGACGAACTTCCCGTCGTGTTCGTGGATCTATCAGTTTCACAAGATGTCCAACTATTCCTTTTTCTTCGCCTGCCGGTATGTTATTAGCGAAGAGATCGAAAACGATGACGGAAGAAACGCAGAAAGAAAGACTAGAGAGGATAGAGAGACATCTTATTGCACCTGTTTTAAATAATTCATCTAGACCAAAATGGTTGGAAGCGGAAATTGATCGTGATAGATGGATCGTTACTCATAAACCAAATCGAGAACATAATCATGTACATGAATACAAATTTGTAAATTCTGTTAAAAGAAAACCAAGTGAGTACTTGATTTTTCAACGTTTTTCATTTCTTTCTTTTTTCTTTTTTCCTTAAAAACGTTTTCAAGGCAGAAATCGTGTGTATAGTATGTAATGTATAAGACGTATATTATACAAAAAGTGTTTCTCTTTTTTTTTTGTAGTGTTGAGTATAAAATCGCAATTATTGTACGTTGTTTGTCGACCTGTTTATGTTGTTCTGACACGCCTGTCTCAAAAACAAATAAACGATTTCGAACAAGATCCATCCAAATATCGATGTTCTGTGCGAGATGTTTCAGTCGATACGCAAAGAAACAAAATCAAGAAAGAATAAGACCAAATATATTTCTTCGAACCGTAAACTACAATCGATGAAAATGATTGATTCGTGTCTGTTAGAGGAAAATGAAGAGGTAGTTAACAGGGAGACAAGAGTTGGAAACATGATTCGTTTAAAAACTGCAAATCCTTACGATAAAAATATTGCGACTGTTAAACGGAATTAAGAAACAGTTTCCCGCGTAATATTCACAGACACTGTTATGGTAATTGACCTAAGGATGTAAATTTGAGTATCCGTGTGTTCTCGGATGAAGATAAAAGATACAAATAATTGTATTTCCGAGCATGTGATAAAATCAATATTACAGAAACTTACTTCGACTAAGTCTCGCTTAAAATCTTGTGTTATTTCGACGAAATAGAGATGATCGAATTACCTTTTAAACGACAGTAATAAAAATTGCGTGTACACAGATATCGCATTACAATCCTGGACACGAGTACGAATTTGTCCACGATTATTTTGTCAGCACCAATGAATGATACTAGTTTGGTGCATAATATTCATTACTTATACGTTACATTTGTTATAATATTTATTAATTTTATTTCATACAATTTTTCGAACATTTAAAAATTGACGCGATCTAATGATTTACAATGCATTATAGCTCGTTAAAAAGAATTCTTAGTGATATTTGTAATATAATGAATCAATCAAATCTAAATATTTTTAATTGGTGCATTTATCGTACAGCAAAAAGTCATATGCACTTTTTATGCGCCGTATGTTATATACATATATATATATATATATAAAAAAAGAAAAATAAAAAAAAAAGTTTAAGTAAAGCAGTAAACGAGAGCAGAAAAAAAATGAAATCTGATTTACCAGTTTCTTTGTAATCTAGCTACTTTCTGTACTTTTTTCTCTAATTACCTCAATCTCAAATTATATGTATAAATATTTCTTCATTCTGCCGACAATTGTTTTCCTACTTAAAAATGCATTCACAATTTAAAAACAGTTAAAATATTTTGCATGTTTTATTCTTGTTTTTTCTTCGATTTAACAATTTTCTCGATTAGAAATGAAAATAATTTTTCTTTCCAATCCATTTCGATTCGTTTTAAAACCAATCTCTTCGTTGAAATGTTATGTAGCGGACCGAACGCTAGTGCGACTGCAGTACACGCTAAACAAATTACGTTGTATGGCATACTAAAATCAGGCGTGGGAAGGCTAATGAGCAAAGATTCCGTTCTTAGCTGGACTATATATCCTTCTCTCGAGGCGTTGAAACTAAAAATATGAATGAATTCGCTTGATAAAATACAATAAAATTGTTACGTATACGTTATCGCAAACAGTGAAATTAATCCATCGCGTTCCAACCTTGACGTTATAGTACTTCCATCGAGTGGTAATGCAGTGTAATTCCTTGCAATTGGAAGTAGCGCAGTGATTATGGCAGGTCCCATGTAAAATCCGTGATTAGCATCTGGCGGATACTCTTGCCACTTAAGAAACGAATAATCCATTTCTATAGAGAATTTGGTTACTGACCGAGGTGGTAAACGTAAAATTAACTCTAGGTAGTAAGGACTTTTTCTCTCTCTGCCTGGTAAATAACGCTGTACCACTATAATATACAATGGTAATAATTCGAAACGATCAGAGAGAACCATGTCGATTAGAGCCGCGAACGGCAATTATTTACTTACACGGTATAATTTGTTTTGCTCCACAAGTTATTGTAACAGAGTGTAGATACACTGGTAAATACCATGGAATATTTTCTAATAAAATAACGTCGATTGCTTGCCAATAATTATTGTAAATTTTTGTTACTAAACTACCTCTTTCTTGGCCGTACCCTATACAAAGAATCTTGTTAGTATAAAATATATGTTTATTTTATTGTAGCAATTTATAATTGTACACATACCAATAACGTATCTGTTAGCGAACAGTATCGAAGGATAATTCAAAGCAGCCTTGTGAGCGGTACCGTGTACAATTCCGATATTAAACATTCCTTTAACAGAATGAGTCCTAATATCGTAAACTGCTATTTCGTTTAACTGTCCTCCTCGATAACTAACGATCTTAGCACTGGGAAAAGGTATTAATTCATAAATCTGATTCGTATTGTTATTAGACACATCAACGTACACGTTGCTTAGCGTGGCAAGAGGGCATGCACCTTTGATACCCATTCCGAAAAATTTTCTAACGGACCAATCCTGCGAAACGAGTACATAAAAAGCGATAAATTTCAAATAAAATCTCAAAATCGTGTTTTAATCGAACAAAATTACCTGTGAAATATCTGTTACGGTATCGTATATTAACGAAACAGATTGTCGTAATTCTAAGGACGTTCTTGTACACGGAGTATTTGAACATATTATTCGAAAATGTACTCCGATGGAATGATAATTCGTATTATGAATGTACGCAGAGTTTAATAACGTTGCCAAACCTTTCTGTTAAAAATAGGAACTTAAACATTTCTCATGCAGAACTAAAGCGGTACTTAGCATAAACTGTGTACATACCTTAGAATCGCACGGTAATAATTTTTTAAACGGTGTTAAATTTTCTGTACAAACTATTTCTCTTGGTAAAGACGAATAACGTAAATGACTAGAATTAGCATTGTGTTCTCCTATACCGGTAGGTCGGAACGTAAATTCTGGGGACATACTGTTCGATGGATTAACAAAATTTAAAGAGGCACAAAATAATCCAGCTAAAGCATTCGTGAGACCTTTCCATTCGTCGTCGATACTGTAAAAGTACAAAGTACTTAAAAAATTTGTAGGCAATGCTTAGATTCGATTAGGTTCGAAATTGAATCTTACTTAGCAACATTTTTGCCGAACCATGCAAGGATCTCTGCGCCTGGACCAGCATCGTGATAAGGATATCCCCATTTCTGATAGTTCCATAAGCCTTTGGTTAATGTAAGGTGTAATTCATCTACCCCATGACGACTTATAATTTCACCGAGTCCTCTTGGAAATAAATGGGAATGTTGTACTGAAATATTAACTGATACTTTTATAAAAGTTCTAAATAAGAGACACGCTGTACTAATGAATAAAAAAAGAAACATTTTAGTAACTCGTAGCTTACGTGTTTTCGTATGTTTCGCCGTTTCCCATACCGTAGTAAATTGAAAATAGGCGTATACATGATTACTTGGCAATGGTTTTAACATTAATTCTTCGTCAAAGAAATCATTATGCGGAAAAGTAGATTTAACGGTATTAATAAAAATGGAAAATAATATTATTTTCGAATATGTCATAATGGAAAGAAAAAGTTTTAACCACCACTTTTAACCAATTTTTATCTATATATACAATAAATATTTAACATTTTATGTTTGACATTACAAATTTTTATTTTCCTACATTCTGTGCATCATTTTCAATTTATCAATTATCCTGGTAAACCGACGTGTATGATCTATTAAAAAATAACCTATATATACATTTACAATAAACGTGTAACATTTCTCGCAGAGCAGAGCATTTTCATTACAGTAAAGAGTTACATAGCATACACTGTACATATACAGCGTGTAGAGTCAAACACTGTATATTCTTCGCCATGAATATAGGCATAAACAGTATGTCTATGTCACAGTATGTCTGTGTTACATCTGTTTGCGATTTCTAGGGATTTGGTGTGGGTTGGTGCTAGTGAAGCGCTATGTCGCTTTACTCAGAACGAAAGTAAAATATTTTCTGTTTTCTTTGTCCGCTTACTCTGTACCATATTTTACGTATTTATTATGTACTTTCTTCGATAGTCATTTTCCCCAGAAAATACACGTTCGCCATGAACTGTACCTGAGAAGATAATGCAAGATAAACAAGGATCGACTGGAGGTTCTCAGTTTCGCCGCGTGAGGACTTTATAGCGAATTTTAATCCAAGTTGTTGTTCCGCGGATCAATACTTAAATTTCGATTTGGAGTTTTATGAATAGAATATTTGTGTTGTGACAGTAGAGAAGGAGCGATCGGTGATCGGTATATTGGAAAATATCGAGTGAAGCTTATTGAATATGGAACCGGAAGAAAACGAAATGCATTTAAAACAAGTAACGATGTTACGCAGCGAGAAAAATACAGCAATTGATTACGATGAAGATAGAGTAAGGTTAGACTTAACGAACCCTGTGTAGAGATTTCTTGCTTATTGTCGGATGAAGAAAATGAATTTTTCATGAAATTTTTCATTATATAAATGGTGTTATTAAGGAAATTAACTACTTGTACGATTTCAGCTACACGAGATGACAGCGTCGTATTCGGAAATATCATTCGATTCACAATCATCTCCACCCGTCTCGGAATTAAGATCACTAATTGATTCCCCGGATATCGATGGAACAAGATTTTTAGAAGATAGTTTGGAAAAGATGAACGTAGTAGGTAGCAGACCCGATCAATTGAGTTTAAGAAATCGGGAAAGTAGTCCGACGGAGGACGAGGATATAGATCCTCCGAGTTACCATAAAGCAATGGGATATTTACAATTGGAAGGAACAGTAATGCAAGACGGGGACATGGTGCTATTCGTTGCAGAAGATTTAGAAAATAAGATTAAACTTTCTAGTCCGGTAACAAAAAAAGGAGAAACCCCGTCGTTTCCTGGCTCACGCAGTTCGACTCCTTGCTTATACAGACAGGCTTTGACTCCTCAGGTGCCACTTTTGGACCATAACGTATTGAACGAGTTAGAAATGGAAGCGAGAAAAGTAGCCACTTCGGTGGACGCTTTGACAGAAAATTTAGCTGCCATTTTACATAGCGTAAATCTTTTTTCTTCATTTTATTTGGTCGTTAGAATATTTGTTTTCCAGCAAAGTACGATAAAGATACTTTTTAGGCATCTGCATTGACCGTCGGATGCTTAGAAACATATAGGGATGCCGTTTGCAAGACATGCGACGCGGTGGATCACAATATTAAATCGATGTATCAATTAATGGCGAAATGCGAGGAATTATCGAAATCGATGGGTCCCGTATATAAGCTAGCGGATCAAATGTAAGCATCGAAAGTTTCGCAGACGAATCGTTTTCAACGTCTATACATTTTTGCTTTACATTTTAGCAAAGAAGTGAAGAGAATGTTGGAGTTATTTGAAAGTGCAATGAATCTATGAAGCGCTTAAAAAAAAAAGATGAATCTAATTTTGACAATACGTTTACACGTGCAGAACTCGTATCTGTCGCATTGCTTCTGATCGTTAGTCAAGAATATTTTCGAATCATGCGCATAACCGCACAACGACTACTCGTGCGCCATCGTCGTCAATCAAATGTACGCGATACGGTTAAAGGTGAAGAACGCGAAGGGTGTTGTGTCTCGCTTCGGGAAGCGAGTTAACGTATTTAACGTCGGTATATTAAATCGAAAATGCGTAAATCCGATTTTAATCGCTAGAAACCACCGGTATCGAGAAAGAAAAAAAATGTATAATATATGTTAAAATAACTAATAAAAAATTTGGATGGTTTGAAAAAACAGACATAAGAAAAAAGGAAAAGACAAGACAAGAAAAGAAAAGGAAAGGAAAGGAAAGATGCATGGAATACGGAAACCAATGATGCAAGTCGTAAGTGAAGATGTAACGCGATTGAAATACGAAAACGTAATAGTTTTCTTTTTAATAAGAAAATTTATCAAGGCGTTTGATTGATCCGTCTTTATCTGTACGTAGACGCCTGTAAACTTTTCGTAAGCTGATCTTACAATGTACCGATTGTTCGTATTCAGCTTGACACAAAGTACATTGAGAAAAGTCACGTTTCGTGTTTGTTCCATTCCGAGTTGGCACAGTGTTGAAAATTAATTTGTCGGTATTATACGGTTTGGTGAGAATTCATTGTAAACGAAGGCTGTAAATAACATAATCAAGAAGCGAGAGCAGGAAACTCGTCGCGAGGCGCGCCTCATTTAACGCGTTCGCTGAGCGTATTTATTAAAGACAGGATGATTTTAATCCGGCTAGGGGAAAAAGGGAGCGATGATAGCGGACAAACACCTCGTTAATTTATTCTCCAACCCCGACATCTCCATTGAGGCCACCGAAAGCATTTGTATACGCGTAAACGTATAGAGCCGTGCCCTTCCTACCATTCTCATACGCTGTTCTGCACATTTTCAATTCTCTTGAATGGAAAACGATTTGTTTCCTTTTTATCGTTCCCTTTTGTCATCCTACGTATCAGGATCAGACTTTAACGACACGCAGGTTCGCCGAGAAGCTTTTCACAAAATGGTATATTTGTCGTAAAAATAAATTCGCTTACGTTATAAATTTCGTACTGCTTCAATCGTTTTCGACGATCAGTTGCTCTTTTCCTTATATATATATATATATATATATATATATATATATATATATATATATATATATATATATATATATATATATATATATATATATATATATATATATATATATATATATATATATATATATATATATATATATATATATATATATATATATATATATATATATATATATATATATATATATATATATATATATATATATATATATATATATATATATATATATATATATATATATATATATATATATATATATATATATATATATATATATATATATATATATATATATATATATATATATATATATATATATATATATATATATATATATATATATATATATATATATATATATATATATATATATATATATATATATATATATATATATATCATGGTTCATGGTTGACTCTTTGCTCGTGTACCATTGGTGAGAAAGAAGAAGGAAGATTTTCTTAGGAAGATTTAGGTGCGATCGCGTAGCGATCATTCAAGCGTAAGAGAACGGCAGAAAGAAACGTAGAGGGAGGGGAAGCGAAACGAAAAATGCTCAGCAGATCACAGACTGCCTAATTAAAAGGTTCGCCGTCACATGGAATCTTGTTTCTTTCTTTCTTTCTTTCTTTCTTTCTCTCCCTGTGTGTGTCTTTTGTTTGAACGAGAGATGCTTGCGGTAAAGTCTCAGGAAGCGAACGTCTCTCTTTCCTTTTGTCCTGTCTTTAACCCTGTGTCGCGTACGTATCCACGGACATCCGTTCGTTCTCGCGTGATAACGAGCTACGGTATCCTTTTCGCGAAACCTCTTGTCCGTTTTTACGAACGAAGACAAAAGAAGCAGACGGGGAAAAGGTATTGACATTCGCACGACGAGAAAGAAGAAAGGCCGCAGCGATTTCTCGAGGAAGATTCGTTTCAACGATCGCTGCATACTCCGTACTTTCTTAATCGAGGAGACAAGATCGAAAATTTTTGTGGCACGCGTTCATCGTGTTCTTCGAAGGCACGATAGGAACAAGGGAAACGAATCGACTTGCTCGTGTACCATTGGTGAGAAAGAAGAAGGAAGATTTTCTTAGGAAGATTTAGGTGCGATCGCGTAGCGATCATTCAAGCGTAAGAGAACGGCAGAAAGAAACGTAGAGGGAGGGGAAGCGAAACGAAAAATGCTCAGCAGATCACAGACTGCCTAATTAAAAGGTTCGCCGTCACATGGAATCTTGTTTCTTTCTTTCTTTCTTTCTTTCTTTCTCTCCCTGTGTGTGTCTTTTGTTTGAACGAGAGATGCTTGCGGTAAAGTCTCAGGAAGCGAACGTCTCTCTTTCCTTTTGTCCTGTCTTTAACCCTGTGTCGCGTACGTATCCACGGACATCCGTTCGTTCTCGCGTGATAACGAGCTACGGTATCCTTTTCGCGAAACCTCTTGTCCGTTTTTACGAACGAAGACAAAAGAAGCAGACGGGGAAAAGGTATTGACATTCGCACGACGAGAAAGAAGAAAGGCCGCAGCGATTTCTCGAGGAAGATTCGTTTCAACGATCGCTGCATACTCCGTACTTTCTTAATCGAGGAGACAAGATCGAAAATTTTTGTGGCACGCGTTCATCGTGTTCTTCGAAGGCACGATAGGAACAAGGGAAACGAATCGACTCTGTCGAATTATGTTCTACGAAGGATCAAGTTTAAAGAACCTTCAAGAACCGGCCAATTAAATTTCAATTTGCAAATTAACTTTGGTAATTACGAGTGGACTTGGAGAGCGGTGCGTCGAGGAAGGGTTGGAGAGCGGAGATTTACAGACGAGGCGGTAGAAACTTGCCAACTTTTCAGTCGCTTTTTATACAACTTTTCTTGTTAAGATCGTGATTATGAATTTTCCGTTTGATCGTCCCTTCGTAAGCTCATAGTACGAACTTACGTTCATAATAGCAACGCGAAACTCGGATATTAACAATCGACCGTTATCGTTCGTTGATCGATTACTCGAATCAATGTACTTACTTACATGTCCGAGCGCGTTCGTAATTCGAGTTTGTTACGTTTCTTTTGTTCGTGCCTGGTTATTACGTTGCGTATTGTTCGACAAGTTGTTTAAACCGAGGCCTACAGAGGCGACAGAGAAGAAAGGAAAGGTTCGTCGGTAAGAAGGTAAGTAAAGCGTTTTTGTCAACGAAAATTACGTAGATTCCATCGAAGGGTTAACACTTTTAAAGTATATTCGGAAGTAACGACGGATTCGAAAGACGAAGTTTAGTTAGACGAAAATGTTGTCGACACTTGTGCGTACCTGCATTATCGTAGCGTAGCTTAGGAACTTGGGTACTTTTAGTGTCGCATTATTTTCGATTTAATAGAATTTAGTGAAATTCCATTCAGTTTGATTAAATTTCCATTTGATTCGATCCTCTTTCGTTTCGTTTCACTCCGTTCCGTTCCGTTTCGTTTCGTTTCGTTTCGTTTCGTTCCGTTGAATTTCGTGTTCGTTTCTGACGAAGCCATTTGTTCGCACTGTTTCTGCTCCTGTTGGCAACGGTGTACAGTTGCGACTATGGTCTCGAAACCGCTGGTCGCTCATCCTTTCCACTCGTCCTCGTCGGACCGGACAGAAATCGATCTTTTCTCTCTTTCTAGCATTTTCCATTCCCTTTCTATGGTGGTGTACGCGTAAGATAGCTCGATCCCGTTCCATCTTATGGCCGAGACACGCCTCCCACTCGTGGCGCGCGACCGCTGTCGGATCGTCGCGGATGGTCGGATGTCGGGGATTCAGTCGACGCCGAACCGGCACGCGTGCTGGCCGAATCGTTTCGTACGCGTTGCATCGTGTTTTGCGTTTTGCATCACGCCACCGCGTCGTATCGGCTCTCCTATTCGCGCCACGTTTCGTTCCGTTCCGTTCCGAGTTTCGCACCGCTTCGTTTTACGAAGAGATTTTGGCCTCGCGTTCGGTCGCGCTTACGATCGGTCCGTAAGAGTGTGCGCGCATACCAGCGCAACGAAAAACTTGTGGAAGCTCGTTCCGTGGTCGTAGATCCGCGAAAACGCGCGCAGCCATGCTAGATCATCGGAACGAGGACGATCCAGCTGCTCGGTGTCGCGTGTGAACGCGTTTCTTGTACTTCCACGAACGGTGAAGAAACAAGTGGAAAGAAGTGACGCGTGCAAAGTTTTTCGGTGGATCGCTGTTCGATTTTCTGCTCCGCTATACGATTTCCTCGTTCGATTTTCGGCTCGTCCTCCAGGTTCTCGACAACTGGACGTTTTCGCTTCCGTTTTCGGATCTTGTACCCTTCGTTGCTTTTCACCGAGAAACGTCGTCGACGAGATCCGCCGTGGACGTCGGAACGAACAGATATGGATTTCGTGATTTTAAAGGTAAACGCCATTCTTTCGTGTCTACTTTATTTCTTTGTTCTCGTTCTCGTTCTCGTTCTCCTTGTATGTGCGTGCGTGCACGCTTGTTTGTATTCGTTTCGAAACGCTCGCGTTAAAGGTTTATCACGGAAATAAGAACGTTCCGCTAAGAATTTTTAATCGGTTCGCTTCGAAACTTGACTCCTTCTCCGAAGCGATGCAAGGAATATCGCGCGATAACCGTTACGTTATTGTAAGAGCAGTTTGTCCGTATATGTATATCGAAACGATACGAAGTATAATTATATACTTCGTATAGAACGCGCGAAACGCGTGGCTCGCCGTCGCGAATAAAGATAAGAATAAAGATAAGAAGCGTGCATTGTACGAATCTATTGCACGAAGATAGAAAGAAGAATGAGAAATATAACGTTGACGCTGCTTATGGTCGTTCTGTTATTCGTACTTTAGGCGACGTTTAGCCGAATCGACGAAAAAATCGGAGTTTTGTTCGTAAGATTCGGAAAGAAAATCGAATAAGAAGATGTGTACCTGCTTCCGAGCTTCGTCGTTATCGTTGCAGTCGGTGTAGAGCAAGTTTCCACGCGTTAGATAAGACGGTGATAATGGAATTTCCAGGAAACTCGGTAGTCGAGGGTAGGTTTACTCCGGTCGAGTCGTGCCGCGGGACGATCTTACAGGAGCCGCGTTCGCGTTTAATTTTAGCGCTCGCGACGCGATCTAGGGGGTAAGCCTTTTTCTATCCGATCGTAACGCGCGACTTTGAACGTTGAAATTCGGCAAACTACTATACCCGTAGAGATGTCGCGTTTTTGGACAGTCGATCGGTCAGGTTCTATTGTTCGATCGTATTATCGACGTTCGCGAGAGTCGATAGGTGCGCGCGTTCGCCGATCATTCGTCGAATCGTTGCGTTGTTTTCGCGTGCAGAGAGAATAGGAGAGGAGAGCATAGTAGAGAGCAACGAGAAGGAGCGTTTAAGTCGGTAAGCGCGAAATAACGGTCGCGCCGTTGAAGAACGAACGCCTCGGGGTGTCGGTGAAACGTCGCCGCGGGTTTCTCGAGCGTACTCGAGTAGTCGCGGTTGGCGCGGAAACAGAGAGACCCTTCAGTGAGAGAAATGAAAAGCATCCTATATCGAAATCTACGGTATCGGAGGAGACTCTCGCTCGACGAAAATTACCGCGATAAACTTTTAGCTACTTCGCACTTTACGTTCTGATCGATTCGCGGCATTTCGTTAGGAATCTTTCCCCCCCCCCGTTGTTACCGCTAGTCGGAACAGACAGTTCGCGAGTGCTCCGTACGTGCTCTCCGCGGGAAGAATCGAGATCCGTGGTGCGATCAGATCGGTGATAACTCGACACGCGGTGCTTCTGTTCTTCCTATCGATTACGCGCTTTCTTTCGATCAGTCGCGTCGCGTCGCGTCGCGTCGCGTTCAATATCATCGGTCATTCGCGCTAATCGACGAGCAGGATCGACGACGTTAGCGAATACACCCCAATGGGTCCTCCACGAGGACACGGTTATCTTTTCGATAACGCGAAAAGATTCGGTATCGTCGAAAGGTCGCATCCGCGTGGTCGCGAGCGGTGCAATGCCCGCGAGATTTCCAATTAGTTTGGTCGCGGGTACCGTCTTGCGGTAACGAAGCGATATCGCGTTGCCGTAACGCGTTAAGTGTTCGTTACGGAACGAAGAGCGAAAGAGAGGAGGGAGGGGCGAAGAAGGTAGAAGGAGAGGAGAGAAGAAACGATGAAATCGCAAAAATTACTTGACAGCTGAGAACGGTGGAAATATTTTAATTCTTTTCTCCGAACACTCCCCGCGTAGGTACTCGAGATAATTGCCATTTGCGCCAATAAAGCCGGAATCTCGACGGTTTCTCGTCCCTGCCCTTCCTTCTTCGTCACCGTTGTTTTCCCCCTATCGCGATCCTCTTTCTCCCTCTTCTTCCGCCCTATCCCCTTTTCCTCCCTTCTTGCCCTTTTGTCGATCTTTCTTCCCTTCCGTATTTCTTTCCGTCATTCGGTCGTAGTCGCTCGATCGTACGTCAGTATCCGGCGACGCGTCGGAAGGACTTTGGTCGAACCGATTAGAATGTCTCCGAGTCCCTGTAGACTATCGTTAGCCTTTAGATGGACTAAATAAGATTATCGTTGGAAAGGATTTTCGTCTCGATCGAAAGGTATTTTCGACGTTTTATCGGCGTTTACGAGCAGCCGATTAAACGCGGTCGTTACTCGATAAATTGATACGGAATGCAATTTGACCGTGCGTGTACTTTTATCGATCAGTCGCGTCGCGTCGAACGCGCACGGTACGCGAGCGTGCCGTAATAACGCGTTGTCATCGTAAGTTCGTCGGGACATTTTAATTGAACGGACAGCTCGCGTATATTAATCGCGTAATTTTCGAATCGTCAGGGCTCGATCCCCGTTACGTTCATTGGATCTCGCTACGGAGAGATCGCCGCGTCTACGTAGACAGAGACCTCTGTCGATGAAAATTTTCATAGAACCCGTTCGGTATCTCGTTTAACTTTGACCGCGAAAGACGATCCGGTCGGACGAAATCTGTCCGTCGTCGAGGGAGTCCCGCGACGAGTTCGTAGCGTCGAACGATTTCCGTTTCGCTTCTCGAATTACGACGAGCCGTTCCTCCGAAAAGGACGCACAGCTGGCAAAACGTAGAAGCGTGGCGAGCGAGCCGAGATTCCTGGAGAAACGGTGGGAAAAACTTAACGCCGTGTATCGATCTCGAGTTTCGGGACTCTTTGTCTCGCGGCGATCTATTCGTACGGGTACGTTGACGGCGGATCGCGATCGGATATTTTTGGAGCGAATTCCAGCGACGCCGGGCGTAGGGCGACGATTTACGCGGTTCCCGACTCTGTCGTCTTCGTTCCTGCGTGCCAGCGAATCTTGTCGCTTCTTTTCTACCTTTCTGCTGTTTATCGCGTTTTCATCGTTTTACGAGTAGACGAATCGGCCGTTATCCGACGAACGACGAGCTCGGCAAACCGAGTATACGCATAGTAGTACGTGTTGGTGGTTAATGGGAGACAAAGCGAAAGAGAAAGAGAAAGGAGGGGCTGGAGGGTGAGCGAAAGGGAAAGTTTCTTTCACACGGTAGGGCGGGAACGATAAATGTCCGTGAAAGAGAGAGGGAGCGGGAGAGATTTCGGGCCGGTTGAAAAATGTTGCTTCGGTTCGAGGGGAAACGGAGGCCTCGGCACCGTGGTGGGGAAAACGAAAATCGGAGACGGACAAACAGAGTTTTTATCGAGATTTCTATCGAGATTTCTATCGAGATTTCTATCGAGAATGGCTGCGAATCGGGAAACGATTCGAACGGTTAGGAAGATTTAAAGTCGAGCAAGGATTAATTATTTTTCCCAGTGTTCTTAACCGATTCGCGAGAGGCATCGTTAACGGATATCGATCCTACGAACAACCGGCTACGGCGTTTATCGAACCGGCCCGGGTTTATCGTGGTCGGAGCTCGTTAGCGTGCCAAAGCTCGTTCGATAGCGATAATAATGCGTGTCGAAGAAGAAGAAAATCATTGTCGGAGTAGAAGAACGGAGAGGAAGGTGGGCTGGGAATTCCGAATATTTTTCTAACATACTTGATCCGAGCTTAACGATCGTCCATTCCGTTCTATCGTTCTATCGTTCGTTCGTCGATGCTTTTCACAATACGTTTAAAAGGGAAACGGAGAAAATACAGGGAACGCTGCTCGAAAGACGACGGTTCAGGGTCGGGAAGACGCGGCACCGTTCGAGAATAAAAATCGGACGGGCCGCATTTATCGTTTCCGTTGGTATTCGCGAGCCTTGGAAACGACGAGTACGCGTCGTTAAGTATATTCGAACGCGAACATAGCGAAATCACGAAGTAAAGTAGGCTCGAGGAATCGTAATCGTTGCGTCTCTCGTGCTACATTTACGCTCGCCTCCTCGTTCGCTCCTCCGTCGAATCATCGGAGTCGGATTAATTTCGTCGAGCTTTCCATTATCGCGCGTACCTACATTTAGACGGAACCGGAGAACAGCCGAGTGCCAGAAACGGGACGAGAAGCTATTTCTTCGGGCTATTTTCCGTCCTCGATTATGCCGCTCTATCGACCAATCCGTTCCCCTTCCTTTCCGCGTTGCCGATTAACGAACAAATCTTTCCTCGTTGTTCGTTTCGTTTCCTATCCACGCCCTACCGACGACGCGTCGATTATCGGTTAGAGGTCGGTTGTCCCGAACGTAGGCTCCTCCGCGAAAAGGACCGTTCCGTAATGTTTAGTTCGTAGTTAGCGCGGACAATCGTAACGGAAGATGTTCGGCCGTTTGTTCGAGCGTCGCGAAGAGATTGTCGAGCGCGCCGTATTCCGATCACAGTTTTTCTCGAGAGAAGTTTGCGGGAAGGCGAGGGCGGAGGAGGCGGCAAAAGGGTGACACGGAGTGGTTTTACGGAGGACGTAGAAAAGCGAGCGGACTGTCCGTTGGTAAAGTTGAATGTGGCGCATTCATCGTGGAGAGAGGTTCGCGTCACGACCAAGACCGTCCGAGAAAAACGAAAGATAGCATCGGCGTTTGAAACGATTTAAAAGGTTGCGAGAAACGACGCGCCGCTTACTACGCTCTTTATCCGCGAGATCGCGTTCGATATCGTCGAGGACGGCGTAAAATTGCATCGATTTTTCGATACGTTTATCGTCCACCGTCCATCGCGATGGTAACAGTAACGAGTATTTGTCGATCGGATACAGGAAATCGGATGTACGAGTTCCTCGGAAGAGAAACGTCGATCGAACTAAAAAGTAACGCGGTTGGGAATCCCGTCGATTCGTGGGAACGATTTTACCGAGTCGACTTTCGTCGAAATCCGCGCGACGAAAGCGGTTCCCTGTTCAATTTTCTTCGACGCCGTTCGTCTTTTCTCCGTTGCGGTGCAACGAGAGCGCGAACCGAAGAAGACGGTAAAGGGAAAGAGAAAAATGGCG